TGTATTTGTGCTTGAGATTGCACTGACCCAGGTGCAGGACCTTGGGCTTGGCCTTGCTTGAACTTCATGAGGTTTGCAGAGACCCACCTCTCAAGTCTGTCAGGATCTCTCTGGATGACATCCTTTATTCCCTCCACTGTGTTGACTGCAACACACAGCTCAGTGTCATCGTCAAACTTGCTGAGGGGGCACTCAAACCCACTGTCCATGTCGCTGACAAAGATGTTAAAACAGTGCCAGTCCCAATACCAATCCCTGAGGAATGCCACTCATCACTGGTCTCCACCTGGACATCAAACCACTGACTACATCTCTTAGTGACCATCCAGCCAATTCCTTATTTACTGAGTGGTCCATCCATTAAATCCACATCTCTTCAATTTAGAGACCAGGATGTCATGCAGGGAAGTGTCTGTCTGGTTATGTTGATAATTATTTTTCATCTCCTCAACTCAGGGCATTTTATATTTACACTGTTAGGCAAGCACCTTGGAAAGGAAAATGGGTAAGATGAAATAAAGTTTAGTGTTTCCTCTGTTTTTCCTCTACATTACATCAGGAAACCCATGTAAAATATAGAAAACAGGAAAAAAACCCTGTGTATATTATATATTACATAAAAATACATATAAGTTTAAGAATCCTTTCTATGTCAAATTAGTATTGAGAGACAATTTTCCAGCAGCTTGTAAGAGGACATGATAGTACTGATTCACCAGACAGCGTTTTCCTATGGGGTAGCATGCTGAATGCATATTTAGGTAGTGAGTTTTCCAGTTTATAATGGATGATCATATTCATAGATCATCAATATAATATGTAGTTGAAGAATGCTCCTGAAAAGTCCCCAGCAGCTGTGCCTTAAAGGACCATCAGCCTACTGCCTTCCACTTTGTGCTTGAGTGCCACAATGTGAAAATTGGTACCGAGCAATAACAACAGACTTAGTGCTGAGCTGCAGAGGTCTGGCTGATCAAATCTAAATCCCAGGCCACTCAACATCAGCTGTTTATAGACTGTGTTTCAGTACACTCAGTTGAGGACTACGAAAATAACAGATATTTTATTTCAAATAAAACACAGGGAAGTGTTTTAATGCTCTTCTCACAATAGCAATATATTGAAATGCAGAGGACGACAGTATTTCTGGTTGCTCAGAATGATGACTACTGTGCATTCCTTCACTGCTATAAGGGTAATGTTTGTATGATCATAACTTTGGCCAAAAGCACAGTGAGACAAAAAATTACCCATTGAGGGAGAAAGTGCCTCCCCTCTTTGTGAATTTGAGACTGTAATGGGTTTGACTCTAGGCCTTCCTTCCCGGCAACCAGGAAGGAAGGAGGGAAGTATTCCATCCTATTCCTTTACGTAATCAAACATATAAATAAGATGGGAGAGAAGCCTCTTCCTCTCTTCTCTTCTGGCAAGGTTTGGAGACAACAGACTCCCGCAGCCGGTCTTGCTCATGTGGGGGAGCTGAGGCCTTGTTCGGGCCTACCATCCGGGGTCTGGTAGCATGGGTGGCAACACTGGGAGTGATTGTGCTATCTCAAGGAAAGTATTAAGATTTTCTTTGGCTAGTTCTTTATTGACTGTGTATACCTGGTTTTGTTTTTTTTTTTTTTAATTTTTGTTTTGTCTCTTTTCCCTTTCCCTTTGGGGGTGTTGGGGGTTTCTTTTTTATGTGTACATAGTCTTTGTAATTGTATATAAATGTAATATAAGTGTAAATATATTTATATATTGCTTTAGCTCTCTTATTTTGGTTCTCTTGGGTTTTTTTGGTCCCCTCTTTTCCCTTGGTTTGGGGGTGGGGGGGGAAGCTTTTGTGGTGAGGTTTGGAGACTTGGCAGGGAGTCAGCTCCAAACCACCACAGGGACCTGCAGTCTGCAGCTGTGGCAAAGCTCGGGACTGGACAGATAAAGTTAATTTTTGGTTTTCTAGAGATAATCTCTATAGTAGAGATTAGAAAGAAATAGATAGCAGAAAAAAAGTTTAAGTACACTTTGTTTCCAGAACCATCCAGAAAATATATTACATTTTTCCTGGAGTGGTAGTTGTCTAACAACCAATAATTCTTTGATGCCTATTCCTAGCATTTTGATAGTCCTTTTTTGTCAAACACATGGAGTTCAAGCACTTCCATGAACTTCAGGTCAAACATTTGCAGTGTATCAGAACAGCAGTCATCTTGGCGGAGGAATGAAATCCTTGATTGTTTACAGGAGATTAGCTTAGCTAATGTTAAATGTTAGTAATGTTAAATGCTATTGTTAGTGATGTTAAAATATTCTAATTAGATGTGGACAAAAGGTTCTGCAGGTTCAGTTCTTGTTAGAAAATTTTCATTACTCTACACAGGAGTGACCAATAAGTTTTTTCTTTGGAAGAAAATATTCTAACCTTACAGTTGTTTAAAGTTTGGGGGTTTTAAATAATAGGTTGACAAATTACTGTGATCTGCAGTGGATTAAATAGTCATATGCATTTTTTATTTGTCCAAAGTACTATTTGTCTGTTTAAGTTCCCATAGACGTTTGTGACAAAACTCTCAATTCAACATACAACCAAACATATTGCAAAAAGATCTATCAGACTGTAGTGGAGGATATCTCAAATAAAATAACAATGAAAATAACCAAACAATGCAAATATACTTCTCAGATTAATTTTTATTTTCTGATGTATGATTCACGATTTCTTGATTTGAGTTGCTAATGAAATACTATGATTTAGAAAAAGTTTTCTGAATCTTAAAAAATTAGCTATTCTTGGGCTTCCTAGGCAGAGATGATCTTTATATTTTAATGCTTTTTAACTGCTGCTGGTTTGTTCATTCTTCATTAAATATTTACAGTTTCACTTTCATGGCTTCTTCAGGCCAGGTATAGGTGTCAGCCACAAAGCTGTTGTAATCAGTGTTGTAAATCTGAGAGCGGATGAAGGCTTCTAGGTCCTTGGGCTGAGGATAGGTGGAGGCGGTGTTATTCCTGTAGGCTTCTTCTGCGATCTAGAAAGATGCACAATCCTAATTAATGCTGATAGACTATTTGAGTATACTTAGCAGGATTTAAAAGTAGGAATTAGTTCAAAATCAACATAAGACTTCGTCTCCTCTGGTGTTGACAGTCATCTGTACTCACACTGGATCCAGGCTCGTATGCAGTGAATAAGTCTAGAAACAGGATGATGTTTGTATTTAACTGGGTCTGACTCATGCTACTTTTGAACAGGATTTCAAAAAGTCTTTGCTGTTAAAAATACAGTGCTCCTCCTTGCCCAGTAATAGCTTTTAATGTGCAGTGGTGGATAAAATATCCCACAAGCATCAAGCACTGAGATACAATTTCTGCTTTTCTATCCTCACACTCCTCTGGTTAACCATCCTCTCAAAGCAAAGAAAAGTGTGATGTGTTCAAAGCTTCCACACTCCCTGCATACTAGAGAAGTCTAGAAACTGTTATTTGCCATCGTTTGATAATATACTTCAGAAAAGGTAAGCACATAAGAAAAAATTAGTCCTACGTAGTGCAGAGATTTAATTCTTGGGATAGTTGGGGCAAATACAACTATTTGCTTGCTCTTTCTTCACCCAGACCATACCTAAGTGAATCAATTATGCATCACAAGTATAGCTGCAGTAAGAATTAAGTTTAGAAGGGGTTGAAGCCCACTCAACATATCAAAGTAGCCTTTCTCTTCTAAAGAACACCTGCTTGAGAAACATATATCTTTAGACTGGACATTCATCTATGAAACAAAAGAATTCAGTCACACTGGTTTTATGCAGCAGCACGTTTTGGAAAGGTCTGCTTGAAACTATACTTAGGAAACAAACTAATACTCCTTCTTTGAATAAAAGGGACATTGTCTTCTTCCTGCTCTCCTTAGCTCCCTTTAAATGTTTTAGTTTGGTGAGAAGCTGATACTCAAAGTCACCGTATTTAGATATCTTTTCTAGGATTAATCTGAACCTCAACTCGATTTGACTCAGAAGCACTTTGGGTGTTTATGTTAAGGCTTATCTTCAGGTCTCTGCACATAATTACCATGGTTGAATAAGGTCTGAATTTATATCCAACATTTGGTATTCCAAAATATTTTTATATTGCTACTCTCCTGGAAAAGGCAGAGGCCACTGCTAAACCTCTTGGGCTGTATGAGCCAGAGCAAGTATTTGCAGGAATAAAGTTTCAACAGAGAAAAGGCAGAGAGAATCACTGGGTAGCATTTTCCTTTTTTTGTTTTTTATATAACATGCACAAGTAGAAAAGGAATTTCTCTCACTGTGTTTCTGCCAAACACACAGTCAATTTGATTTTGCCTGAGGAATCCAGGTAACGTTTTAGCATCTACAGAACAGAGTTTTTACTTGCCTAAGATGAAGTAAATTGTGAATAGGAATTTTTTTTCTTAAATATACAAAATGAGTCAGTCTAGGGAAACTGTTTCATGCATGAGGGCTTCTTGTTATTCTTTCAGAAGAATATAGAGTAAGTGGAATTATTCACATTAAAGTGACCAAGAGAAAAACAATAATTAGAGAAAAAAAAAGCACAGAAGACCAGCAAAATAACCTCCTAAAATATTGAAACCACGCCCTAAAAACAGAATGAGGGAGGAACTTGGATAAATGCAGTATTTGAGCTTCTTCTTCTCTCCAGGACAGCCAAATTTCTGGGAAAACTGTGGGTTTAGGTCAGTTTCTGGAAATCCATCCTCATCAGCTGTGTATTTGCTGGTAAAAAAACAACCAATTAATTATTTGCTGACCCGAACCCAAGCCATAAAGAAAAAGCATCCCCTGTAGTTAATTATTTTAATAGGCCAGAGTGACCATGGGAACAAGAGGGAACAGTGTCTGGACACAGGTGGACATTTACTCTCTTGACAGGCAACTGATAACCATGAAGGGCCAAAAGCCTTCAGATGTGCAGCTGGCATGACTGGGGCTGGGAATCTGCTCCTGACTGGTGGACAGCACAGTCTGGGCTCTACAGAGAAACACTTGCTATAGTTCTGTAGCTCTCCTTCTTGCATTTGGGATTACATTTACATTTATGAATTTAAATTTAATTTTGAAACTGGTACGTGTCCAATATTGATTGATGTAAACCAACTTCAACTTGTGTGAAGGTGTGTTAGTTGATCAAGTCAAATGTTCACTTATGTAGAGAGTGTGGGAAGAAGAGAAGCCATGAAAGACTGAAATGACTTACCCTCACAGCAATTTTCAGTGACACATCCTGAATAGTGACTAATGGAGGGTAGAGACGACCTTCCTGTAAATTCTCCTCTGAAACTTGCTGAGCTATAACCTAGAAATGAAGTAGACATGTTTAACTTGACATGCAGATGAAGCTGCACTTATTAGACAGTGATCTAGTCTTAAGCAAAAAAATGTTTCTGCTTTGGCAAATCACAGAGATATTCCTTAATCGACCTAGGCAGTGTTTTTTAGAACCAGCTTTGTCATTAGGAGTAGCTACACAAGAACTAGAAATTTAGGTAGTTACGCCCTTTTCTCACTCAGACAATAAGACTTATTCAAGTTTTGAGTAAGTCCATGACACACATAAACTACTAAATAGTTCATAGTGAGATAAACATTCCAGCTAACAATTGTAATTGGATCAAAGACTTCTAGAATTCAAAGCACCTATTATTCTGACAGTTGTCAAGTCAACCTGTACAGAGAACAGCTGAAACCCTTAAGTGTAAAATGCTCTGAATGAAATTACTGGTGACTGAGTAGGTTTGCTGTGCATCCAGCTCACAGATTTAGCCTGTATGAGATCATAAAAGTAAGTATGGTCAACCACGGAACAAAGCAAAATAAGATTATCCAGAGCCTTTTAAAGGCTTGCCGGTCACTGTAGTTGGATTTTGAAATAGAAGGTCTAATGCTAAATTGTTGGACAGAAAAAGATGCTGTTAGAACAGTCTGTCCACTCCACTTGAAGGCTGAAGTGGGTCTGTTGTCTCAAGCATATCAAGTAACTAAAGAAATTATTTTGCTCTTTGCTTGATTTTTCACCGGACTGACCAGGGGAGGAACAGCGCAGGGATTTTGATGCATGTCTGAGAGCGGCATCTCCTTTATGGCTTGAATATTCCTGCTTCATCTTCCTAGCAATACTGGAAATGTTTTGTTGCCATCACCAGCAATGAACAGATCAGGAAAGCACAGCAAGCTGGAGAAGTTGGTTTTTACTGTTTACTCATTGGCCACATGAAAAACCTTCTGTTACCACAGAGTGTGAGGACATTCTCTGCAGTGAGGAGACACTGCTTGCACTGTCTGCTTATGGGCTTACTTCATGAACTTCCTCTATTCCTGCAACAGAGACCTTTCAAGAAGCAAAGGGTCGTGGGGCTGCCTTTGGGACTAATGATATTTCTGTTATCATCAGGAAAAAATTTGCTTGTCATTTGGGGAACAGAAAATTGAAATAGAAAATAGCCTTTTGCGGTGATCCAGATGTGGATATAAGAAAAACTCTGGTCCGGATAGCATCTGATGACAACATGTATGACACAACAAGATGTTCTGAAAACACTAGGAAAATCTAGAAACACTGAGGAATACAACTGATAACAAAGAGAAAGCAAGAAGTGCACTTTTGAGGGAATTTACTATGAAGATACTTGAAACAGAGCAAACTGCTTCCAACAGTTCTTGTTGCATATGGGAAATATACATTACTTGCAAACAACTAGAATAGCCTCAGAACAGATGCCTGGATATCATCAATGCATCCCTTCTGGCAGAAGTATGTAAGTAGTTTGAACTAAAGTAACTCCAGGTTCAAAGAGAACCAATGTCCTCTTGTGTGACCTAACTGCATGTTGGTAGGTGTTGTAAGTTTTTCCATTTGGAGTGAAAATGCAACCCAGAAGAGTAATAAGAGATTATACTCTTGAGTATAACAAGTACAGGAAAATTACTTGCTTACATTTAAATCTGATATTGAGGAATTTAGCACAGGAAAAACCTCTAGGGGGAGCTAAGAGAACGTGAAATCTAGTTACTGCTCCCCATAATAGTAACTGGGTTATTTCATAATGATACACAGCCCTTTGATGTGCATCTGAATGAGTAAAGAGGAGCTTGCAACATGAAATCTCTGATTTTAACAGTTTATCAGGGCTCTGTAGGAAAGATGAAATCTGAAGAAATCAACAGCAAGCTGCTGTTAGTGTAATGCATCACTGAAAAAAAAATGGTTCAGGAGTGGAGTACTTCTGTTTTGTGATGGAGTTGATAGAAAGTAACAATATTTAGGCAGTGCTTGAAGTGGGAGAGGGAGCAAGTTCAACTGTCTAGATGCCACGCTGTTCCTTCTGACATAATCCTGTAACATCATTAAAAACTACGTAAAACCACAGAAAAACAAGCATTTTTCAAAGAGAATGACACCTTCATGTGGTCTTTAAAAAACGCTCCTTGAGAACACCAGATCAGTGGCAGGGGAAAAATGATGAATCAACATTTGGAGTTATTGAGAAAGTAAGAGGTGACACAGGAAATGTAACTGAACTAATATATAACTTCACAGTGTAACACTGCTTTGAGCAGTGTGTGGTTTTGCTCCACATACTTCAAACGAGAATGGAATAGAATCCAGAGTGGTATAAAGAATAACAAGGATGATCAAAAGGTTATATTTTGTACAAGGAGACAAAAAATAATAAAATAAACTTGGGAGAAAAAAAAGAGAAGACTGAAAAAAAAATGCAAAAGACAACTGAAGGTGAGCATTTTTTATGGTTCTATAGGGAAACCAAATCAACAGACAGCAGAAAATTGTGCAGAACTCATAATCGTGACACTAATTGTCAAAAGACGTTTGAATGTATAAACATGTTTAAAAAGCCACTAGGGTCATTTATGAAGGAGAAATCCATACAGGGATAAAACATCCAGCACAGGAAGGCCATACAGTACAGGCTGCCAGATACTGAGGAGCCATTTCAGCAGAAGGATCGCTCTATTTCTTCCCCATTTATCCTCCTTTCCTTAGCTTCTGCTATGATTACTTCCACAGGAAGATGCTGAGCTGTTTGGATCTTAGGTCTAACCCAATATGGGTATTTTTGTTTTAAATTTTAATTAATTCAAGGTTTTTGTAGAAAAATTAGCTAAGCCTTTTTGCAGAACCTAAATGAAAAACAACCAAGACAAGACAAATGGCATAAAGCAAGTTGGGGCATCTTGGTTTTTGGAGGACATATTCTCTATAATGAAACGGGATTATTTCTGGAGAACTGAACCATAGGACACACATGCCAAGAATATTTCATCAGTACGTAATTCTCTGTCCCTTTTGTTATGTTTGGTAGGACTTAGAAGAATAGGTAACATCCCCTGTCATCACAGAGCAATTGCCTGCAATTAAGAGGTATTACAGTTTACAGTACCTTTGATTTATCATCGAAAATCAAAGTTATGTTCTATTTTACTTGGCAGGAAGAAAAGAACAGAGAAGTAAAATCTGTTGTAGTTATAATAAGCTATTTGTGACTTCAATCATATTTAGTTGGAGAGGTGGCAAAGCAAGAAGACAGGAGGTGCAGGTATGCAGCCTGGGCTGCTACTTTTTATAATTTCTTTTTCTCAAATAAGCTACTGCTACAATCTAAGAAGGTCCCTCTGCCCTAAAAAAGGCGTGGGTTTGGTGCTTTAAATTTTGCAGCATCTTGGATGCTTTCATTTCAAATGAAGACTACTAAGCACTATTCTAAAACCCACATGAAACTATTCTGATTTTATCCTTCCATTGAAAAAAGCCAGGAAAACAAAACAAAAAAAGCACTTTTGGTTTGTACTATAATTTCAGCTAAGGGCCTACGCAGCCCTCCCAGTCTTCACACCCCTGACATGTCTTCTGGCAAAGCCTCCTCTGACATCCATGAGCTGTCACCATGCCCAGTGAGCTGTAGCTCACCCACTGCTCCTCACATCCATAAGAAGACCACACGTGAACGCCCTGAGCTCCGAGCCGTAAGGCAAGAGGCTATCCGGGGATCTCGCCACCAACAGAGACTTTCTATGAGAGATAAAAAATACATTTTTACGTTTCAAAGTTTTCTACGGACTTTATTAGAGGAAGGCAATTGTGTAGCAAAACCTTTAGCAAAAAAGAAGAGTCAGGAGAGAACCTCTACCTCAAGAGAGAATTTAAAAGCTTCCTCACCATTTCTGACATTATTTTACTTCCCTGTTAAATTTCTGTGTTCAGAAAAGACTTTTTTCTGACTTAGTAGACTGTCACTTGGAACACAGTTCAATCCACATATGTGCTACCTTTCATCCATCAGAACTCTATGTATAGGAACCATTTCACACAAAACAAATTGAAGCAACTTCTACAGTGAAGTAGGACAACTGTGTAACACAGCAGTTTAGACTGGAAAGTGAGGATCACTGTATCCAACTGAAATTACAGGGGAGGATTTAAAGGGAAGATATAATTATCCAAAGACTTAGGAGATGGATCATTGCCCTCCTAAGATGGTTAAAGCCAGTGGAGACAGTCTGGGCCTTTTGCTAATTTTAAAGATGGAAATTGTGAACATCCTTCTTACAGAGGGCAGGCTTCTGGCAAACTTTTTTAAAGATGCCTATAGTATGCACCTTAAAAAACCTGTCAAAATCCAGCAAGGGAAGCGTGTGAGTGCCACCCTTTAAGAAAGCTTCATATGACACACTGCCTGTCAGAGGATCACATTGCCTATCAGTTTCCCTTGAGTGATAGCCAAGAGCCATTTTATTCCCTTTAATCCATGAAGAAGACAGAAGGAACAAGAATCTGGAATGCAGTATCCCTTAGAGAAGCTGCAGGAGTTGAGTCAGGCATTCACACATCTGCTAATTGGTGCAGCTTTTTTTTCTTTTTTATTGTTCTGCAATTTTAATGTTCTAATTTCATTCCTTTGAGCCTTCCTCTGCGTGGTACCTACACTATCCATGTATTCCCAAGTGTGCTTACACAGCTTCTTTGAAGACTAGGACACTGCACATTGATAAAGTTCTCTGGATTGTAACTGGTATGAGCTGGACTTGGTAGAAATTCCCACTAAAGTGAATCTAGGTCAGTTAGAATTAATGTGGTAAATCGAGGGTAGCCTTCTTCTTTATTTACATACCTTTTAAAAAACCCCAAAGCATCAGACTTTTAATTACTTTGCATGGACATGGTCAGACCAACATGCACTACCCAGGGCTTTCTAATCCCCGAACCTAGGCCGTTTCTGAGCAGGATGAGCTTAGGAACATGTTCCTGGGAGCTGAGTAGCCAGGAGCTTATACAGGGATAACCCCCATCACTCTGGATAGAAGGAAGCTGAGTCCTATGAGGCTCATTACATTGATCTTGCTACCAGCCAAGAGCAGAACCAACAGAGGCAACGGAGGAGACAGGAACTCTAGGACAATGCAGAAAGAGAAGGAAGAGTGAGTCTCAGAGGCAGGAGTGGTAAGGGTGCAATGACGCTGTAGCAAATGAGGAGCAAAGATGCTGGACTGAAAAAAGCACAGAAAGTTTAAATTTTCTTAAGTGAGAAACAGCTGAAGAAAGATTAACATTGTTTTGGGGAATTTTTTTGTAAAAAAAAAAAAATGTGTTAAGCATTTTATTTCAGGTCCTGATGCCCGTTTATTTTGTTTGAATAAAAGATTCTAAAATAATAAAGGCCAGATTCTTCTCCCATATATATTGAAGATACAATCCTGTGCATTTATGATATCATAAAGTAAGACAGTGGATGTCAGATTTGGAACAATCACTGGAAGTAGGTGGTGAATAGCTCCCAGAACCAAAAGTGTTTGCTCTCTGTTCATCTCTTGCCCACTGAGTGGAGATAAAGGAAGAGAGATCACATGTTGGATAATGTCAGAACAAAGGAGAAGAACCAATGGAGAAAACGATAGGAAGGAAAATGGGAAGAATAATATCACATTTGTGTAGAACAGTGGTAGAAGGAACTACAAGGCAATGGAGCACTTCCACCTGCTGTTGACAAGGAAAGTCCACAAAAAATTATGCCAATGGCTCTACTAAAAAAAAAAAATTGAAAGAAATTAAAACAATTTTTGTAAGCAACACACACATAAGTCATTCCAAAGCTACTAACATCAATAACAATAATTCCTTTTTATCTAAAATGAAACCTCTGTGCCTGTGCATGCAAGTACATATGTGCATTTACATGTGATAATACAGTACTGAAGTCTTTCTCTTTTTTCCTTCCCAATAGAAAGTGAACTTTATGTCAGATGACCTCAAGTATTAACTTTTTAAAAACAACTTATTAAAAGAGAATTTATAAAAACCAACATGCTTTGCATATAAAGGCCTTACACAGGAAGCAGTATTTTTCCAGTTTTAAAAATAAAGTTTAGCTGTTTCTGTTTAATTGCTCAATAATACTAAACCACTAAATAAAGGAATTTAAATAATTTTGAATACAGTACCTCAGCAGTTGTGAGGAATACATCCTCACCAATATGTCTCAGCCCACACGAAATAACGCCAAGGGCAACTCCTGGGAACACATAGGAATTGTTACCCTGTCCAGGATAGAGAGTTTTTCCACTTGGAAGAGTGACAGGATCAAAAGGACTTCCACTGGCAAAAATGCCACGTCCCTAAATTGTAACAAGAAAGGCAAAAAAAGCATGTTAGATGCGAGATTGCTGTTGAAATATTTCACACAGCCTTCTAAATATCCATCACTGTGGAAGCTGGGTTGCATCTATTTAGTATCTTTTCTGA